TAAGACCAACCATCACGAGACAAGATAGAAACATACCCCAAACGAGCTGGGGCTACCACCCTCCACACGAAGCGCAGGCACCCCCTCCGACCTACCAGGAGGTCATGGCGTTAAACAGGAATCCACCCGGACCAGAAACGGGCGCCATTCCCCGGACATCCAGGGAAGGATGCCCCTATAACCGCCGCGACCACAGTAGGTCCAGGAGCTACCACGACCGAGAAGAAGAAGAAGAAGTAAACAACCGCCTTCAAGAGCTGGAGCGCCTGAGAGAGGCTGTGGAGTCCCTGACAGCGGCGGAGTGACGCCGACTCGAACGAGCCAAGCACCGTTACCGACGCTCGAACAACGACGACTCCAACAGCAATTGAACTCAATAAACAACGATAATCTGACCATTCAATAAGTCCAACTCATTTCACCTTACTCCGACATTCCCTAACCATCTTTTCAGGTCACTGAACCAGTAGCTTAGGACCAGTCAGGAGCGGACCACCAGTAGACCCGCGACGACCGACGAATCACGGTGCATGTGTATGCACCGGATTAGTGGGGGGCTATGTGATGATGCGTCATCACACAAAAATATATACTACCGGCGCTTGCGGCAGAACAGCCACGACCGCATACACCCGCCCACGCACGTCCGGATCTCGCGAACAATGGCCTCCAGCAGTCTCCCTGACCGATTCGCACGACCCTTACGCTCGCGTACAACCCCTCGCGCACTCACGACCCGATCCGACACTCCCCCGGGAAGCTGGAAGCCCTTAATGTTTCCAGCCGCGATCAGCTGATCGCAAGCCCCGTAACTAAGGCAGACCTAGCTAGACTAGAGGTAGGGGCAACCGAACGCGTGAGAGCGAGCGAGACCGCCGATACTAGACTGATCGGACGCGAGTGAGGGGAATCGGTAAGACCAACGAGCAGTGGATAGAAGAGGATAGACAAGCGACGCTAGTTGACCGGCCAATCGTTATCGGCTTAGGGGTGGTTAGGCTAATGAGACAAAACCGACGCTATCTCCGCGACCAGTAGGCAAATTAGGCGCGAAGAGCTGACCAATAAACAAATTGCGCGGGCAAAAGTATCGGTATAGACGGCGCTGAGACCCGGCTTAGCAACAAGCCGACCAATCAACAATAACTAAGGGGAAGTAAGATAGGAGAAGCGGCGCGTCGCCGAAAAACGGCGCGCCAGTACCCGTCCAGCCCTGGAGTCAACCAGTCGAGCGGGACGCCCGGACGCGAGTACCGAGAGCGAGAAGAAGTGAGTAGAATAGCGAGAAGAAGTGAGTAGAATAGTGAGAGAAGCAGCGAATAGTGAAAGAAGCAGAGAATAGTGAAAGAAGCAGAGAATAGTGAAAGACGCAGAGAATAGTGATAGAAGTAGAGAATAGTGATAGAAGCAGAGAAGTAGCGATAGAAGCAGAAAAGTAGTGATAGAAACAGAAAATAGGAACAGAAGCAGAGAGGAGTAGAATAATAAAGCAGCATCAACGGAACCCGCGACAGTAGCAACAACGGCAACGGAGACATCAATAGTAGCGGCCGCTACAGCGGCCTTGGCGGCCGTAGCCGCGACCGTAATCACCCGTACAATTGGCAGGAGTAAGTACACTTTCCCGCTACTGATTTTTGCATGACCGACGAACACGAAATTGCCGCGCATTGCCGATCGCCGCGTTTCGGGAGTGTCGCACGACCTTCGCGCGTCCGATGATACTTATTGCCGACCTCTCGAGCATCCTTTGTCGAGCCGTAGTAGTAGTTATTGTCCACAAGACGAAGCTGTCGCGTGATTGCCGAACGTCCGCGTTATGGGAGTGCCGTATGACCTTCGCGCGCTCTACGCCCCACGGTCATGTATATTTGCCGTTGATTTCCCGAGTTTTCCTTGTGACGTCGTCTTTGTTCTATGTCCGGAAGACGAAATCGCCGCATGATTGCCGAATGTCCGCGCGCGGGTATGCCGTATGACCTTCGCGCGCCCGTCGCCGTTGTTTTCGCCACCGACCTTCCGAGCATCGTCTTGTGCATTGTTATACCATCGACATCCGAGAGACGAGTCTCCTAAGTGTGTGCGTCTACGAATTCCTTTCCCGAGCCGATCGAAAACATTACGCGAGTCGTGCTAGACCTTCGCTTGACCGGCAGAGTTCGGATATACATTGTCGTCTTGTTTCGCTCGCGATCATCGCTACAAAGTGCCAACAACACCGCGAGCAGTGACTAACCTTCGCGCGACCGACCGAATTCCTACGCGTATTTACCTCGAACAAACTAGAACTTTCGCCGCGAATAAACAAATCGACATTGCTTAACCGTATCCGGAACCCGAAGTATTCTTCCGAGCTATTGTCTGCCTAGATTGATTTCGCGTCGTAGTGCGCCACTCGCGTCCCCCAGTAACCTAGACCAGGCTGACCATCGCGAGGGATCACTGGGGTTGACCTGGGAAGTTTTGGCATAATAAATCTGAATTACCTTTAAATCTGATTTGTTATTGACTGCACCCACTTGATCGCCTCATCCCCCGTAGCTTTCGCGATCGGTCTGAGATCGGTAAGCGCGTGCGCGAGTAACCTGATTGTCACCTAGCCGATAGCCGCCGTCGCGGGAACCACGCTACCAGTCCAGGGAAGGAGCTATCCCCTAGACCACTAGTCCGTCAGTCGGGGCGCTCCTGTGACGCCCCCCTCGATGTACCCGCTTCTGAATTAAGAGCCGCCATGCCCCGAACTAGACCTAGCTAGCCGAACGAGCCGCAGCCGTGGGTGGCCTTGTAAACCACCCGTTGCCCCCCTTTCCCCTTTCGCTCGATGTGTCTCCCCGCTTCAGACTCGAACGAATTCTTAGCCTAGGACTTCGCGCTCCCATTTCATCCTTCACAGGTGATAGCCAGCCACGCACGCGCCCAAGACTGACGGCGACGAGGAGGGAGGCAGCGGGGAAACCACCCGACCATCACAGCGACCAGCAGGACCTTGCCGAACCAGCTAACGCTGCAGCGCTACCTGTTCTCCTAACGCGAGAGCACGGTAGCTGGTGCCCAACGAAATAAATAAAGCTGCACGCATTACTCGGCTCCCTGCGCCGCTGGCGACAGTGCGAGACCGGAAAAATTGGTGTCATTCATTTTTCCCCTCCCTCTCCCCCGTCGCAGCTTAATTCTTACTTTTTACGTGATCCAGACAGGTATTTGTTCTACAGTAAAAGCAAATCGTAAGAAAATGCATTAGCTGATAGTCAAATTACAGAGAGGTGAAGTTTAAGTACTCATAGCGATACTTGGATGACACTCAAGTAAAAAGATAAATGTAGCATTCACATCCTGATAAGCGTGCATGCACTAGAATTTTAGAACAGTGGAAAGAAAAAATAATCAAACAAGTGAAGATATTACAAAACCATCAAGTATTATTGATTATAACCATTATATGGGAGATAAATATAATGTTAATAGATAATTATCTATAAAAAAGTTAGTGAAAAAAAAAATGAAATGGTCCCGTAAACTATTTTTTCATCTCGTTGATTTCAGTTTAGCAAATGCTCATGCTTTATATCAAATTGAAAATAAAAAATAACCTATTTCATTTACTTCCTTTAGATTAGAAATCGTCAGATCTTTACTCAACCTTGATCCTACTTAAATTTTCGATTGCAATAGTGACTCTCCCGCGTATTCATTAGGTTAACATTTTCTTAACAATTCAACAAGTTAAAGATGCCACTTGTGCTCTTTGCGTAAGATTATACGTTAAACATCTTGTGCATGTATATCTTGTAATAAACTTTTGTGTGTAGTACCATGCTTTGAACAATATCATACACTACCAATATTGCCAAAAGACCTACCTGATGTGGTAAGTGTTACCTTCAAAGTAATACTAACGCTTCGTTGTGAGAGATAAGGGGTCCTACGCAAAACAAGCACCCCGTCATGAGAGGTAAGAGGACTCACAAAAATCAAGCATCTCGAAGGAATCGGTTTTTTACCATGACACGTTGTCAATTCTGGATAACACTAAGAGCGAAAATAAAAGTAAAACTATTCACATAATATTTTTTTCAAACGTTTTCATTTTGATTTTCCTTACTTATGCTGTTTATGTTTGATCAAAAACTAGGGCACGGGAATTCGTCGATAACCAAATATTTTTTAAGATTGGCGATGCAGAAATTTTGAGAGAAAATTCGTGTTCAACGTGCAATAACGCATCAAAAACTATGTGATACATATGCAGATTCTGACTTCATAAAATTCTTCATTTTTCTGAACGTTTTTAGCATTTTCCTAAGACTGAAGGGTTAGGAACAAATTCTGATAACAGGTTCGTACTCAGCATGTAAAAATACATCAAAAACCATGTGTCACAGTTTTTGAAAACAAAAGAAATATACCTGTTATGAGGATAACTATAGGTATATAATACACATATATGGCATTGAGAAAGCTGTTCTGAGTCATTTAACCTTAAAATATTGATTCCCCAGATAATGCACAGGGTTATGATTGACTTTACAGCTTAATTAATATTCAGCAATCAAAAAACCTTAGGTATACCAAATTTGAAGCTAAAAGAGCAAAAAAAATGTTTAAATTATCCGTAACGTTCAGGCCAGAGGTGGTCGCAATATCAACCATTTGTGACTTAGGGTATATAAAACTAGTGATACGATGTTTGGAAACATGAACATTGATAAAAATAGAAGGTTATTTTGAACTGGGAAATATCCGGCGTCTAAAGGTTAAAAACTAATAATATTATTATTAAGAAGTTTTCCGAATTAATATATCTATAAATATATTTCGTTGTAATGTTATCTTTTCTATAAGAAGGTAGATTGATTGCTGTCAACAACCTATGTATATATACTAGTCAGTTGGCAACTTATGTTAGACTGCTTTAATTCGAGATAATTGCAAGTGTAACGGGTTGCCGTACACAGATGATTTATAGGTATTACATGACCATTACAATTAATGTATTACAGCTTATTGAAAGAGGCAGAGTCTACTGATTCCTACATCTCCTTAAATATGAAGGACAACGCTACTACAGGACAAATATACGATTCAGAAAATAAATTTAGCAATAATGAGTCCACTAGCTTAGAAGAACGTCAGCTTCTAGGTCGATATGGTATATGGCTGCTTATCGGTTTATGCTCTCCCGATCAGGATGTACCTAAAGAAATACTCGGAAGAATGCTATCTATGCTATTTCATTGGTTTCACATAACTGCATATTCATTCGATGATACAAAAAAACGACTTATGCATCTAATTTTTTCTGTTGGTAAGCTAATTTTTTATTATTCAAAGTTTTATTAATTGAAAACCTATCTATCTCAACGTTGAACGTCATTTTAAACCAATAATATATCTTTCATTAAATCTATGTCTTTCTGTAAATTGTAAAATACTTGACATTTAAATCAAAATTGAGATAAACCAATGATATTTGACGATTTTCAATATCTTGAAAAAATTTTAGTTTTCTTAACATTCTTAGATTTATATATTTTTTATTGGTGAAAAAGAAAAGAAAACACGAATAGCTACGCGGGGGGGGGGGATGGTCAATAAGTCTTTACAGAGAGAAGGAAAAAAAGTTTTGCGTATGTAATTTTTTTTTATTCTTCAACATAATCTCCTTGAAGGTGGATACATTTTATTAAACGGCCTTCCAGTTTTTTTAAGCCATCAGAAAAATATGACATCTGAAAACCCTCAAAATAGGAATTTGTTTCGGCGATGACTTCTTCATTCGACGTGAATCATTGTCCGGCAAGCCATTTTTTGAGGTTAGGAAATAAGAAAGTCACTGGGAGCGAAATCAGGCGAATATAGTGGATGGTCAATTAATTCGAACTTTAAATCGCTAATTTTTGCCATCGAAACTGCACACGTGTGAACTCGAACATTGTCTTGAAAAAAGAAGCATTTTTCTTTGTTCAAGTGAGGATAATTTTCTCTGATTTTTTCTTTCAGCTAACCTAATAATGACGCATAATATTGTCCAGTGATCGTCTGGCCCTTATCCAAGTAGTCGATGTAGATGATTCCATACGCATCCCAAAAAACCGTGGCCATAATCTTGCCAGCTGACTTTACTGTCTTTGCCTTCTTTGGGGCTGGTTCTCCTGCGGTAATCCATTGTTTGGACTGTTCTTTGGTTTCAGGAGTGTAGTGGTGTACCCATATTTCATCTACAGTTACGAGTCGACGCCAAAAGTCTTCCGGATTACGACGTATGCGTGTCAAAAGAGCCTCAGAGTAGACGCGGATTCGTTTGTTTTCAACCGTGAGCAAACGCGGCACCCATCTTGCTGAAATTTTTTTTATCGCCAACTTTTCATGCAAAGTTGAAATGATTGTATCCTTTGATACCTCTGTGGTCTCAACTAATTCTCGCAATTTCAATCTTCTAATACTCAACACGATATCGTGGATTTTCTTGACCATTTCGGACGTACTCACTTCTACGGGGCGTCCTGAACGAGATTCATCTTTTGTTGTTGTACGGCCGCGTTTAAATTAATTTATCCAGTTATAAACAGTCTTAAACACAGGGGCAGACTTGCCATGAACGGCGTTCAACTCAACTGTGATTTCTTTTGGTGTAAGGCCTTTCAAATGAAAATGTTTCATCACCGCTCGAAACTCTGTTTTTTCCATTTTTCAAATAAACCAATAACTTTTTGTTCAACCAATGCTCACGAAAAAACGACTCAATGAATCGAGCTGAAACTTTGTACGATATCTAGTTAGTAATATTGCTTGCCAAAAACATCATAATTTAAGCGTGACGAGCGCCATCTCTTTTATTTTGTAAAGACTTATTGAACCCCCTCGTAAGCTAGACAGATGTTAGTTTGGAGGGGTACCAGATCAGTAAGGGTATTGACTCACGCGTGATCTGAATGTCGTGTGTTTCAAAATCACCAGTCCCAGATTGCTCTAGCAAGCTTTGGCTATTATGCAGAGCCTCCCCAACCCTCTTTAATTTAAAATAATATTATTAAATATCCACATATATCTCCGAATATACTAATACAGATACACATACACACGCATGCAAGCACGCGCGTGCAAGCGCACACAAACATATGTAAGTAGGGAAGATTAACAATAATCTATCCCTGAAATTTGTAGTTTGCTACCGATGATCGCTGCTCTAACGACGCGAAGTCGAGTATGAACGATGGTCGTATACAAAACAGAACTCACTCATCTAACAAAGTTGTACTGTACACAAACGCACTTATATGAGTTATCAGAAAATATGTAGATCGGGCGATCCTTCTGAAACGTCACTCCTGGTCCTCGTCGCAAATAGATCTCAATGGAAAACGTTGTTGGAGGTTCCCCTTGTTCTTTCACTCACGATGCTGTATTGTATGTACTGAACTACATTATAAATATATATATATATATATTATAACGGGGTGGATTAACTTGTACAATAGGGATTTAGTTAAGAACAAACTCTCACGATGCAGAGCTAATCGCCGCTCCTTTAAACACGTATGGTTATACGTGTATTCGCCTTTACGTTTCATACTTTCGTTTCAGTGTCTTCCTTCCAATCGAGTTGAACTCACCTTAAGTCACCTGACTTATGACATTCGATCTATCTTAGGTGTGAGTGACCTAATGCTTAATCCGACTAATCCCCTAGATGAAATCGGTTTAAAATTTTATCCGAGATAGTTTCGTTAAACTATTAGGAAACGAAATGATATAATGCGGCGAATAAAATTAATAATGTTTAATTCTAGAAAATTACAGTCTTTAATAGGCCGAAAGACTAACGTACGCGAATAGGATTTACAATTATTAATAATAATACGGGGAGAGAGAGGGAGATTATTCGAAACTTTGTCGCGAAAACTAACGCTCGGCGCGAATACAAAAAATAACGATCGCGATAGACAAAATACTCTCGCTAGTATTTTGTCGCACAATAAAAGAGAGATGCACCTACCCAGCGGTGCAATTACGATGATCAACCGTAATTATTGAAACAAATGGAAGGTGCTCCTTAGATCAGCTGCGCTGCTTCGCTCGCTTTCAAATTTGCTGCATTGCTACTGCTTTATTTACTGCTGCTGTGATGCTGCTACTATGGTTGCTTTCTCGCTCACTCACGCGTGTATCAAAAATTCCAATAAACTGTTTTATAAAAACGGCATAACACAGTGAAAACTAATTGGCGGTATTACACTAAGTAACAGCTGAGGCTTAACTGAAAACTTTTAAACTCTCGTGCGCTCTATCTCTCTCTCTTAGTCGTTCGTTCAAGCATCGCGAGTGTACCGAATCGCAAACGGATCTATTAATCGAATCGACTATCGTTGTAATATACAGGATGATTCAGAAGGATTATAGTTCCCGAAAATGGGCTGTAGAACAAAATTTTCTGAATCGATTGCCGTTTTCAAAAAATTTTTATCATCAATACTTTCCGAGAAAATTAATTTAAAAAATTAATAATTTCGACCAATCAGAGCGCCGTTTCGGTCGACTACAAAATTTTTCCTCTGTTGCTATTTTCCCCTCCACTTGGCCGTAGCAACCGAAGCGGTGATTGAGACGACGCGGTAACTAACATTGCAAAATATCATTGGTTTCTTAGCAGCGCATCGAAGAAAGAATCGCCTTGTAAAGATGTCATTTTCTTAGAATAAACCGTCTAACAATGTCTTATAATTTATTTTTTTATAACTTCATAACAAACATATACATTTAAAGTAATTTTACGTAATTTTATAATAATTTTACGTAATAAGCGTACGAAAGTACGCGACTTCGATGTCGATCTTGGCAATATTTTGCCACTTTAATTCGAATGAAACCTTTTTCATTCAAAAGGTCATGATAAGATGTGTTCACGAATCTTTTTCTGACGCTCGGAAAAGCCTCTGACATTAACCGGAGAAGAGAGGGAGAAAGCCGTGCGACCGCACACTCGTGAGTATCCACCTTCAATCGCGATTTTGGCAATGTTTTGCCACTTTTATTCGAATGAAATCTATTTCATTCGAATGATCATAGAGGAGAGAGGCTGTAAAATTTTCCCAACGCTCGGAAAAGCCTCTGATATTAACCGGAGAGGAGAGGAAGAAAGCCGCGCAGCCGCGTCCTCGTGAATATCCACCTTCGATGGCGTTTTTGGCAATGTTTTGCCACTGTTATTCGAATGAAATCTATTTCATTCGAATGATCATAGAGGAGAGAGGCTGTAAAATTTTGCCGGCGCTCGGAAAAGCCTCTGACATTAACCGGAGAGGAGAGAGGGAAAGTTTTATCATTTATTTTTGTTAATAACTTTATAACAATCATATAAATTATCAGTAATTTTTCTAATCAAATCAAAAGTGATTCTTTTAGTTATTACTACAAATACAAATAAAGAGCATTTAAGTAAAAATTTAATAGTGAGACTTTTTATTTTCAATTATTGCTTATTGAGTGAGAATAATTGTATCTCGCTCACCATTCGGTATTACTGACGGTGACATTACTATTCGTGAAACATTTGCCGACACTTCGAAAAGCCTCTTACATTAGCTGTCGAGGAGAGGGGAAATACGCGCGGATAAGCGTACGAAAGTACGCGACTTCGATGTCGATTTTGAAAATTTTTTGCCATTTCTATCGGAATAAAATTTTTTTTCTTTATCATTCGCTGTTGTTTATAAAAAATATTTTGAATCAATTATTCAACAATTTTTTATTTTTAAAAATTCAAAGTACAAAAAAAAACATAAACTTCATAAATTAAAATCTTGAATTTGACGGAAACTTTTGTATTTAAAATTAAATATCAGAACATGTTTATTGAAAAATTTGATGCGTTTTTATTGTCAAAGTTTTTTTTTACAAACATGTGGTGGCGCTATCCTTTACAATAAGTTTCATCATAGTGTGCAACCAATTTTGTTTAAGTTGCGTTCGGTGCGAATAAAAGTGGCAATTTCTAAACTACATTCCGGCATTAATTACACAGGCCGACAAAAAATTTTACCAAGAACCCGAGTATAGTTTTCCGAAGGTTTTTTGCGCGCTGAATCCGAATCCGAGGTCAGAATTACTCTGGTGGCTCCGGTTTTCGAGATATCCTAACCTTAAAGTGCAAAAAACGCGATTTTTGCCTATGTAGGTTATGTAGCAAAGAAAAGAAATTTTTTTTCAAAAAACTGTATACATCAAATTAAAGTATGAGTTTTCTTCTTTCAAATGCCGTAGAGTATGCTCGGATATCTTTTTTTTTCACGAAGTTACACAAATTTG